TCCCCTAACTAGAGTTGAATCTGTGAAGTATCTGGGAGTTACAATCGACACTAACTTAAAGTGGACATCCCATATTTACAACTCTGTACAGAAACTTCGCAAATTATCTTTTCAACTTCGAAGACTTAGGCAGTTCAATGCCAAGCAAAAAATCACTTCACTTTTTGTTTATCAATGTGTTTTCCCCGTTCTTCTTTATTGTTCTCCGGTGGTTTTTGCTGGTCTACTAAAGAAAGACTTCAAAATTCTTCGTCGCGGTTTGTCGATCATCAGTCGTGTGTCTTTTATACCCGTAGATGAGCTATCTAAAAAACTGTGTGAACTTCACTTGTCCGCATGTGAAACGTTTGCCCAGAAAATCCTCGCTGACCCCAACCATCCTTTACATGGTGATTTATCTAAATGCTGCTCTCATACGTCGACACGTTCTTCTTATCGATTATTACCCTCTCGCATTAGTCTCTACAGAAATTCCCCAGTTCCCTATCTTGCCAGAATCCTTGTAAACCGAGAGCGCGCTTCCTCAGAATTTCTCAGTAACCTTAAAGGCTAAATATTTTATTTGTATCTTTCCTACTATTGATGAGATGTGTAAATTTTTGACTGAAATGCGAACATTCTGTTTTACGCAAAAGTCTATACAAATACAAATACAAAAATGTGCTGAATGTTCTTCAGTCAATAGTGCATTGCCTATGAGTTTGTCCACTGTTGTATGCTCAACCACGAATCACCTCGACAACAAGCTCGTTTGCTTTCAATCCTATGTCTTTCTTGACAATTGAACTATTAGAAACGTTTGGGTCTCTTTGAATGGAAATAGCACACGTTTAGAAAAAAATAAGGTAATTGCTATCTATCACACGCGGTTAGACAAAATAAAGAACAAAGAATAAATGAGAAAAAAAATTAGATTCCCGTTTTGGAATAAAACTGAGCAACCACCAAAGTTGAATCAGTCGTACATGATAAATTTTCATTCCATACAGAACACAGTAAGTAGTTGCGAGTAAATTTACTCATATATCAGTGATTATGATAAATCGTTCAATCACCAAGTCTTTTTCTATTCGTCCACACGTCGAAGAATATCAGTGGTGCAGTGTAGTCTGGATAATGTTCACACAATGAAAGACTACTGTTCTTAGAACAGAGGTGAACGTTTTTCACCAGTTAATAACCGGACTATCGATCGGATGCTGGAGTCAATTTATACAACCCGAAATACACAAACAATTACACAAACCTGGTCCATCCCATGGCTCGAAACTACATGCTGCCCATTTAAAGAAATCCCATTTGGCCTGCGGTACATCTCCTTTCGTTGGGTCCATGTTGTGCCAAGCCTCGGGAATAAGCATAATCACCACCTCCGGTAAACTATACGTGCCTGTGTGGTAGAGAAATTCAAGCATATTGTCCAATGACCCAGAATCGGACATTTCTGCCTCGATAATCGGAAATAGTTTGTTACGAAGCAATTCATCGGGGAATAGTTTACTCTTCATCAAACTTTGTCGCGCTCGTGAATAGTTCACATTTCCCTGTGGGATGAAGACGGAGTCGGGGAGGGGTGGGTGGGTGGACAGTAAATGCAAGCAAGTAAATACCATGGTAAAAAAACGAATCAATCACCCAATACAATTACGATCATAAAAGTCTTTCTCAACAAAATCAGGGTGTTCTGTCTCGTGAAATTACGTTTCAAAACGTCTAGCCTAAAGTCATCAACCACTGACCACCCAATTCAGAAGCCAACGAAATCATCACGCGAAGTTTTATTCACGAACGTACAATTGCATTACAATCCAGGGGAAAACATGCTCTTTGTATACATGTTAGATGACTTTGAGAAGTTCACAAAATGCGCGCGATAACCAATAATGGAACACTTCAAGGCAGGGATGACGAGTGTGATTGGGCATATTGGAGACCCATGTAACTGATCGAACATTCAAGCGCATTCCATGAATTCTGTGGAATCTTTCGAGTTTTCTGTGAGAAGTAGGCCGATTTCCGGCAAAGTGTCAATCGTGCACTGCACCTTCTACAAGACTTGCATGTTGAGTGCAAAGTACACATACATTGTAGTAGAAAAGTTTCCGCTGAACTGGTTTCTCTGATTCATTGTGGCCCAGAAGTTAGCAATTCGAATCTGACCATAAAAATTACTCGACAGCTTCACATAAATAGAAATCTATCGACGGGTATCATTTGACGGGTAACTGGAAAGCATATTATTAAACATTAGCTAAAAGTTGCCAACAGATAATAAATTATCTAGTTGTTTATTATAATTGAACTTTGTTCGATTGAGTGAGTCACCTTAGGCAGTAAGAAATCACTGGCAATGAGATCGCAAATTGCTGTTCCACTGCTTTTCTATATAACCAAATTTGATTATTCCATCGCACGAGTACGTCGTACCGATGAGATCCTACTGATCATTCAACCTGTCAATGATCAACCGGTGTGCCTCTAGTCGTAGTCACATGAATTGTGAACAGAATTTATTTTTACAACAACCGACCCGGAGACAAAACTCAGATCCATTTCCTGCCTTCCCGTTGTTTATCTTTACTCAAAACATTCGCCATACACAAATCAGTAGCCGAGGAGAACCATACCAACAGTATTTTATTCAGGTTTTAACTCGGGCGATACAAGTGGCATCCGTTAATGCTGTGGACCGACTATGCGGGTGCTGAATTCCTGAGGCTTTGTTCATCTCAAGTGAAGTTAAACGGCACAGGTCACTTGTGCTGTACCCATTCGGTTCGAAATGTTGCCACGTGGACACTGACGGTTGCCATTACGCCAATGCGTGTACCCCACGATAGCACAAACTGTACGTGCGTTGCGACCCATTCGTCAGTTTTATTTTCAAACAAGGTGACCTTGAGAGCACAACTGTCTCTTTTGGTTGACTTCGAGATTTTCCAAATTTCCGAATGATCGTCATACCAGAGATAACGTTGTGATTTAGTGACCCCCGATGTTTACGACCGAAACGGGTGCGCATGATAAAACCCGGTGCGAATCACGTTCTAAAGGTCATGAAACTCCAAACAAACAAACAGAACACCCTCACAAAATGATCAAAACCGGACTGGCAATGGCCGCGGTAAAAACACAAACTGATAAGGGATAGCGCGCGCGACAAACTGTTTCTCAATCAATGCTGAATGCGAGAGAGTGAGGGAGGGAGAGCAGTGATAAAAAGTACTTGGTTGTATGTCCGTCTGGCAAAAGTGACATACGCGCACGGTTTGTCTAATTCCAAATATGGAGCTGAAAGTTTGTGTTCGCGTCTCATGAACTAGCTAGCTCTCTTAAGTGCAACCGAAATTGTGTGGACAACTGACCGTAAACAACAACAACAACAACAATGCGACCACAGCCCGGCACGGTTGTGCAGTAGGAAACTATACTGTGGTGAAAGTGGTGAAACTTCTCAAACCATGCAAGTCACCGGGCCGAATGACTTTTCTCTTTGCGGCGGTTGAGACCAAACACAGTACCAGGTGACTGGTTATAGCCCGGAAGTAGTGATGTACCCGCAACTGGATGACACAGAGTGTATGCGCACAAATGTTGATGAAATATATTCATTAAATCTGTGTGGAATAGACAAAATCTGGGAACTGGTTCACGCCATGTCCGAGAGAAAGTCAGTCTTATAGTACCCCGGTTTTGCTCGGATCGATGCACCCGCATTGATGTTGAGCTGTTACTCGTGTAAATGAGGTATGAGCTGAATAACTGGGACCTGGGGGGGGGGGTCTCATCAGCGACAGGACGAATAAGTGCATCGACCCAACTGGGGATCGAACCAGGGATGTCAGAGATAGAACGCAATCATATACCCACTTGGCCACCAGGCAGCGGATTACGGCGGTTCTCATTTTGAACATAAGCAATATAGCATAACCTATCTTTGCGACCTTGTTGCGGCCATCGCCTCACGGCCAACTCAGTACTGGACTCCCGGGGGTTAGAACTCGGTTGTTGAAGCAGTATACTGGCATACGTGATTGGATCGTACGGGATAATGAGTGGGATGTGTGTTATTCTCCAGAAGGAGATCTGGATTGGATAAATGATGAAGTAACACAACGAGCTCAAATAGTGCCAGATACAGAAAATCTGACCAAAACATCTTGTCGCTAGCTTAGTGAATGAATTAAATCTGTGGATCCAAAAGGCTCCATTTCGATACTTCATCTATAATCAGTAAACGTTCGTTTGCCATTCGTTTATCTGAACTGACTTATTGAACTATTGATTGACATTCAACAGCGGATCTCAGCAGCAACAACAACAAAATGTTTAAAACGAACTATCACGCAGATATGACACATCCATCTCTCCACAATCGAGGATAATAGAACTCCCAGCTGAGCCCTATCTCAGCAACACGCTCTCCGGCACCTCAATGAAAATTAGCGTTCCACGGTTGAGACCCATGGTAGTTGCCTACTTTATTCCCTACTTTTGTTTATAACGACCGCTGAGCGAAATCACCGAGAGGTGTACACCTGTTGGGGACATAATGTATTATAAAGAGTCTGTAGGGGTTGCCTGGTCCGAATTTCCGTCCGAAAGGTCACGTGACGGGAGTTACAGATAGTTTGAGGGCAAACGGCAATATAGTGCCCGTCCGCAGTCTTGTGATCCGTTCGATGTGGTTTGCTTTTCGAACAGTCGAGCGAATTCCTTTTCAACAGTATCAAAGAACTAAAATCAAAGAGTTATTATGGGAATAACTTCGAAGATCATGTTTTTCTCGTCCCATTGGTTCCTGTTGCCGTTAAAATACAGTGATGCATACAATTCCTTATGTAAAATGTCACATGATACTGGCTTCTTTCACTGCTACACGCAGCTCTACTTATGCTGGAATGTAAGGTGTGCTAATGCTTCATTAAGTTTAAGTCTGAAAGATTCAATGGTTGGTGCGCAGACGAGGTGGGGTGAGAAAGAGTTGTAGATCGAACACATTCTGATTGCGAATGACTAACGCCCGTATTCCAATCGGCATTTTGAGACCACTAGTTTGATCGGATGTACTCTAAGATGAACGTTGGGTGATAGCTTTAGTAGTGGGCGACACGGACGACTTGGGTTTTGCATTATTTGGAATACCATAATTATGTTTCCTCTGATGCACCGGTAGTGATTGGAATATAACCCCAACGACTCCAGTCGCTCTGCATTTGAATAGCGAATTCAACCCCTGACCATTTTGGTGGCCATCCTTTGTAGACGCTCCAGCAGCTTGTAATCAAATTGTAGCCATGGATTCCGTAACTGGATAACGTACTTTATGAGTGATCTTGAATAATGATACCCAGGTCCTTCACACTTCAGGTGTGTGGCAGTTGTTCATTTCCGAGGAAATACGAAATCACCCCTTGTGTCGTAGACATAGAACCTTACTCTTTGGCACATTGAATTCAATATTGTTCAGAAGAGACCAGAGATCAGCTGCTTTATAGCGTTTTCTGGAGTGCCAGCGAGCCCGCGGGTTGCGTTACTGTATTCCAAATTCTGGCGTATTCTGCCAACAGTAATGATTTGGGTCCCAGAGCCTTCGGTAGGTCGTTTTATATAGGCTGTATTAATCCCATAATGACGACAAACAATTGTTTCAGTATGGCCTATAAGGGTCCTGAAAGTCGGAGTAGAAAATCACATGATGACACTGTAGGACCTACTGTTCAATGATGGAAACCGGTAATCTAAGCCCCATGGGACTTGAAGTAGTGAACCACATAAGGCCTCTCTAGGTTAGACGTGGTAGTGAACCGCACGATAGCAAAGCTGCCTACCACCAAAGTTGGGTGGCAGTGGCTGGACACAATCCACCGACCATAGGGTCCAAAGTGCCCCAGTGACAGTGACTAAACCATTACGCTACCATCATCTCGAGATGCAAAAAAGCAACGTGGGAATAACCTTATCTGATTAGCTGGCAATAGTTGCGATTACTTTGAGCACTGCCCCCAACTTGATTCTTGACGGTATTGATCACGAATATGCGATCCAGAATCCGTGAGTTCGAATCCCATGACTGCCTCCTCAAATGACATTTGAATGCCATATTTACAAAAGAATCTGAAGGAACAACACTATTCTTCTCTGATAGAGTAAACCTCATTTTCAATTGAAATAATGCATCCAAAGTTACTGTGTAAATGGAAAATAGCAGCGGAAATTAACGAGGTCTCCTCTCACACATTGAAAACACATTTACTTGAGATTGGTTGTGTAGGCTACAAGTTTTTCTCTGTACCTGACCAGACAGCGTGTCACGCACAATCGTCAGTTTCAACTTCTCAACCATACACTCGAGTACTCTGATCTCTTTAGTATCGCTCTCTAGTGTCACATGTCTGCCGTCCTGTCTGTAACATGCACTACTGACAAGCTTTATTTGAGAGTGGTTTTCCTTGTGTATGGCGAATCCTGGATCTATTTCTGACCAGATGAACTGAGATGGAGTCTGAAGGACGGGTAATCCGGAAGTTGCGAAGAAACATCCAATTCACTACATTTAGCTCGATAGGTATTGTTTGCTCCACTCGACCATGCACCTTGCCTAATCTCCATTCAAGACAAAAGAGTAAACGGTACGTTTACTCCTGTTCACGGATAACATAGTTGTCAACGTCAGTGCATGCAGTTATGATTGAGCCGTCGACCGCGTAGCTCGGGGTTAAGGGTTTGAAGTCCCAACCGGAAGGTTCATGGTTCGAGTCCTGATACGGGGACACAAGAAGTACGCGCTGCTGACGAGTCCCAAACAGGAAGAAACAGCTGTCCAGTGCTCTTTGTGTCGGTTATCACAAACATTTCCATCGCACTTAAATACATTCAACTAGTGGAGAATTAACCAGCTCCCAAGAAGTGGAACCTGCTGCCACGATCATCAATAGTGCCTAGTGTCCCTGAACAATCTAATAGGCAAATCCAAGTTTGATACTCTAAAAATATTCCCCTCTCAGTACCATAATGATGTGCATTAAATCAAACGGTCCAAACTCTTCACCTACCGTGACCCCAAATTGACCACCAACATCACCACCACCACCACCGCCATCATCATCAACACTCCAATCACAACCAATTTCACCTGAACATAGATAGATAGGGCTCACTCAAACTCTCCCACTCTCCTCATCCGGCTCGACAATGTGTCCCCGCTAACAACAACCCGTATATGATCTGTACAGGGAAGATTATGAACTAAGAACACAAAAGGAAAACAGAAACGAGTCAAACCCACTCACTCGTAAAGTATTTATTTCACCGTTATGAGCAATCATACGTTGTGGATGTGCTCGGCCCCATGTGGGTAGGGTATTTGTGGAGAAACGGTTGTGAACCATGGCAAAATGTGTGGCGTAATCCGGGTCTTGCAGATCGGAGTAGTAAGACCATAGTTGTTTGGTTGTGAACATTCCCTGTGACAAAAAGAACGGATAAACAGGGAGGTTAGTGAGAATGGACAAGCTGTCAATGATGACCATATTGAATAGGAATCGTAAATTAAAAAGAAATAAAATAAAGTTCAATGTTGCGAAGAGCCACGGTGGCTTTCGGGCTCCACTTTCCAGAAAATATTGTGTAAATTTATAAACGTGAGACAACAAACTATTTAAAAAGGATAGATAATAGTATGACATCAAATTCTGCAAAGAAAGTGAACATCTGGTAACACTTGACCAAGGCCGCCTTGTTTCATTCTTCATCCAATTTTGTCAAACCACGTACCCCGGGCATGCTATTTACTTTACTTAATTACTTTACTGCGGCTGGCTCCTTGGAAAGGATAAGCCGGCTCCAGACATGATCATGATCATGAAGTTCCTTGGGAGTTTGGTACAAGAGAGACGTCCCCAGCGTCACTTGGCGCTTTTTGATTTTGAGGGCGCACCTCTAGCCTTTGCACAATCAAGTGTGAACTGCAAGGCAGCTGGAAGTAATCCCTCGCCTCGGAAGTGAGGGGGTCAATGACTTTAGTTTTAAAACACCAGTCATATCTGACTTTGTCACGACACCGTCATTCGTCTTATACGGTTTTTAAACAGGCGCCAGTTGACCAGCCTGAAATCCACCACACCCTGGTGGCGCTCGCCGCTGTTTGTTTGCGACTGTTTATTTGTTGCGGTATGCCACAACTTATTTACAGCTAAGCTTCTTCGTTGAAGATACCCCCTATCCACAACCCGGAGACGTGCCTGGTAGCATTCAGCTCTGCTTAACCTGAGGGTACCCAGGGGCATGATATTTGCGTGATATCGATGAAGTAATGTAGACCAAATCTTTGCCACCGTTCACCACGATCGACCGGTTGTGTACAGGATGTGATCAACATGATAGCCAATCGAACAAAATGAGTGATCGACATTTGTCTCCTCATACGTTACGTGTGTGTGGAAACCCGGTACGATCAAACTGGTCGCAGTTTGCTTGATCAAAAAAGGGGATAGAGGTTTAGGTGATCTTCCGTTTAATCACTGAATTACTGAATTTCTCCCCGAGAAGAAAGCATCACAGTAGTCGAGTTATCCATTTACAGAAATGACTCCAATTGGAATAAGTTGAAACATTCATATTATTACTTACTCTCGTTATTCGTGAACAGATCATTGACCAAATAGAGAGTTGCATGTGTTACACCAGCAACGGTTTGAGTGTTACGTAGAAGTGTCTAGTATGCAGAGAGATAAACACCTAACTGTGTCCTGCCCTCCCCCCGTCCAGCAGCAAGACGTATTGCTACACAGACTGCGAGCAAATTGTGTGGGGTGGAGGGTGGGAATTTAATAAAAGATAACATGTGGTAAATCTCGGTCACATTGTATATTCAAATAAGAATTATTGGCAGACGGACGACGTGATTGGTGGAGGCATATCGACGAATCTTGTCAATTCGATCATTTGGTGATCAAACAGAGTACACAGTTCAACTATGCATCCACAAACTTTCAAGCATTCTGGTCTGATAAGAAGTGACAATAAGATCGCCATCGCTGTCCGTTTACTACCTTGCCCTTCAGTGCCTCCCATCATGCGGTTACGGAGTCTTTTGAACCCCAACCCGGAAGACGAGAGACATCTACTCTACCTAATCGCTCTGTGCATTTGTTCATGCCTCATCTCCACATCATTTGCTGTCCTCCTCCAGTCTACAGCTGCCACTATAAATAAGGTGCGCTGTAGTAGGTGACCGTTAGATATACGCAAAACGTATCCTAATCAACGGACACTATTGAGCTCGATTAGATACACTAACGAGTTCGTGTTCGATGCATTCTTAGACACCCGTCGATGTACATCTAGGCTACCAAGCCGCTCACTCCATCTCACTTGGATCAGACTACGTAAGTAGGCATCGACTGTTAAAAGTCACTAGGCGACGGATGTCTTTCACCCGCAAATTCAACGTCTCAGAACCGTAAAGCAGAACTGATCGCACAGTGGCGCAGTATACGCTACTTTTCGACTTCAGTGCAACGTCACGTTGTCACCACAGGATACTCGAGCATCGGAAATGCAGGTGATTATCTCCTTTGATGCGCTATCGTCGTTGGTCACGCAGCTACTCAAGTACGAGTAGTAGTCAACTTCAACTAACTCCTTATCATCTAGCTCCAGAACGGAACTCGGCGACACCCAGTCTTGTCGCATCACTTTGCACTCTGAAGGTTCAAAGCACATGCCGAAACGGAATTTACTGTTCTCTCAAGTGCGCTTGTGCATCTTCCATAGATTCGAGCAGACAGCTTGTATCGACAAGCCCTATATCATACGGCATTCCTGCAGCTGCCCATTCAATACCTGCGTTTTGGAGACCACTTAGTGCGTTCTCCAGTGTTTCGTCTATGACGAACATAAATGGTATATTACCAAACCATGCCCCAAATTTGGATTGTCATTAATCAATCCCCAGATTGTCTGTCATGCAAAAAGTTGTTCACAACCAAACAAATAAACAACCTAAATTCTGTATGGTTGACTAATTTTTCCACCACATTTGATCTTATTAACGTGCACCAATTCGCTTTATTCAGTGTTAGAGTTGAGGGACAATGTCTATATCCGGGAGCTCACAAATTAGTGATTCGACTAGAAGTATGGAAATTGCACACCGTAAAAAATATATTCTTTCAGCGAATGGAATGGAATCAGTTCTACAATTTTGCAAGTAGTTTCATTGATCACAACTCATGCTATTGATCCGTTCTTAAATACGGATTATCTTTATACGCAGAAAATTTCAGTCATTTTATTTTCATCTGTTTTGGCTCCCAAATCAAACGTTTACGATTGGAATCCTGGCTGAGGAACAAAAATCACCCTTGCTGCTCGTGACTACCGGTACCCCGGTACAAGGGAAACAAAACAACGAGGATTTAACGAACTCACAAGGACCATGAGTTCTATGCTAAAATCAATCAATACTCAGACCGGCGAATCTGCAGGGAATAGTTCAATTTGATTTTTTATTGGTAATCTGTCGGATCGCAGTCCATCGTGGATAAATTTATTCAATTAGTAGAGTGGTGACATTGGGCCTATTCAAACCGTTGAGGTCACCAATTTATCACTCCGTAAGTGGTGTATGAGAATCTCCATCACTAGCGTCTCCCTATCCCCAGTTTCGTAGTGGCTCATGGGAGCGCCTTAAGTGCTCGCATCTCCCCCTCCCATCTCTCATGAGAAAAATTTACACCGATCAACAATCAATAAAGGAAGTAAGAGAAACAACCAATGTTTTATACAATTTTGCCATCATAATATGTACTTACAGGGACTAATAATAAAGCTCTATTAACTCACTGTTCTGTGCCAAGTAACCCAACTACTCAGGTAAGAGTATCCCTGTGAGTGCCTATCGGGAATCATTAACCGAATTTCTACGGAACCCAGTCAACTGTCCCATTAATTTATCACTTGAAACCTGTCTAACATCAGAAACAGACTAGTTTAGATGAAATATATTTCCTACAGACTGTGGTAAATCAGTGAAATCCGCAAAAAATGGTTTCATGAGAGTAATAAAGGATGTGATTCAATTTTTTGGCGAGAATAGTGACCAAATGAGGCGTGAACTGAAAATTTCTGAAGCACTGAACAGCTATTTTGACCTGGTTGGATCTCATCGGTGCACTGAGCGAATCCATCGATCCAGATGGGGACCGAATTCGGAACCTCAGCACAGGGAAAACGCAAGCATACTATCCACTTGACCAATGGGCAGCTGATCGGACCGCTTTTCATTTTCCATTTACACGATACCGCACAATCCATTTTTGCGAGCTTGTGACGAGCATCGTTGGTGAGATCCAACCAGGTCTCGCAGTGGTTCTTAACTTTTCAGTCCACGCTTCATTTGCTCTCTATATACACGACGAATTCTTTCTTTGACAATTGGCTGGTCGTACAACGCGCATGCAGCGTGAGTGCACAAAATAAGTGTTTGATGTATCCGTTTCATATAAAGATAAAAGAGAACAACGGCGCAGCTACATGAACTGTGTATCGAAAATGGCTCAGTTTGCTTCAGATTCTCCTCGATGAATCATTCATCCCATTCATCCTATCGCCTGTACATTGACCATTCAGTGCACATGGTCTATATTCCGGGCTATAATCAATCGTGTGACATGTGATGTATCTCATTTCCCGATCTCTGCGATGATTGATTGATTCTCGATCTTATGACCGAGAGACAACAGAACCCACAGACCATGTTAGACATTGCTGAGCCCCCAGGGCAAAATATGACTTCATCGGCGAGTTTAACACCAGGACTGTGATCATGGCTGAATGAGCACAAAACTCATTTGTATGTTACATACATATGTACTAATAAATACACTGGTATACGAAATTGGATATTTTATCATATAGTAATTTTTGTTTCATTTTATATTGAACTACTTTGCGTCGTAAATTTACGAACGAGTTTCCAATCCATTAACAGCTCTCAGCAGATCTGAAGATGTGCTGAAATTGACGGTCAGTACAGGGAGGGATTCGAGCATCAGACAATATTATCAGTGCACTACACCGTACAGATCCCGGAAAAGCCGATGAGTAGGGTGAGCCTAGTGAAGTACTGAGCTGTAACATGTGACAGTAATTTTGCTGGTCTTTATGTATCCAAACAAGCTGAAATTTCG